TTTTTAGTTTTTTTTTTATACAAATTGTATGAATATGAAGTTTGGTACATGTCATCTTCTCATTAGGGCGCACCTATAAAAAATATTAAAAATAAATTTTCGATAAAATATAATGACCAAAATACCCCTTAAAATTTACAAGGGTATTTTAGTTATTTTATTTTATTGAAAACATTTTTTTTATATTTTTTCGCTAGTGCAAGTTTATAATAGAAAAATGGACGTCCAAAATGTCATGTTAAAATAGTTTATAGAAAAAAAATTAAAAATAAAATAGTGTAAAGACTTGACATTGTGATTAAGACAATTTTAGCCCGTGATTGAGACAATCTTAGCCCTCCATTCAGAATTAAAGGTTGGATAAAGGGTAGATAGAACTTCTATGCTGTAAAAAAAACATAGAAAGCTTGCTTTAGATAAAGTATTACGACCCCTTAAACCATATTTCCCAATTTTCCCCAGGGAATCAACTTTAATGTAGCAGTTCCCCCGTTATCAAACTGTAAATAGTAACCACGTCTTCCCAAAAACAAACATCCAATGGTTTGGCTTTTCCCTCTCAAAAGTATGAGAGATGAGTTTTTCTATGAGATAGTGTAAGAACCCTAACTTTTTAGAGAGAGAGAGAGAGAGAGAGAGAGAGAGAGAGAGAGAGTGCTCATTTTTGTATCTTTGTTGGCTAGTGTAACAACCCTTTTGATGGCATTCTAGGTATGAAGTCATGCTAAACAAAACTATGATTTACTTTGGTGGCGATGATTCTAGATGAGAAATGGCATGATCCGGAAGGACCACGTACACCGAGCCCAAAGAATAATGATGCAAAATGCAAACAAAACCACCAATATACTAACTTAATGTAATGTAAAATATTAACATCTTTAGCGGTTTGTTTAAATATAATAAACAAAGGGAATTGCATAGTTATTATTAGGAAACACCTCATCGTGGCTCACCATAAGTTTGTCCACCATACTATGCAGCCATGATCCATCACACACAATGCAGCCATTCACATAAGGAGAGAGATTCAAAATGCCGAGTTAAATTATCAATAGGGAATTCGTCTTTTTGAGTAAAAAAGAGATGTGGTTTTTATTAGGTTGCAACATTATACAATCCAATTAAGGCGCACCTCCAAATTTTATCATTTATCATGAGGTGCAATCTTGGTATAAATTTGTTTTTAAGATTATCTTAAAATCTATTTTTATATTTAATTATAAAATTTTAAACTCCAAAAATAGTTTAAATCAAGTAGATCTATAAACATATGAAAATCTTGAAAATGGATGGTCTAGATAATGTGTTGTAAGATGCACTATTTCTAAGATTCAATTTTTTTTTTTTTTTATATTCATACACATCGATGTCGAGATGATTAATTAGAGGGTTTTTCAACATTAAAGCAACTTTTCCTATGTACTTTTGAGGTGCATATTTAATTTTACATTTTAAGGTTGCAACTTTATATAAACTTTTTCTTAAAAAATTCATGTTAGTTTTGAGATTGCTCGAGCAGCCTCGCCAGGCCAAGAAGTGTTAAAAAAATAAAAAATATTAAAAAAATTAAAGTAAAATTAAATGCGAGCAGCCAGAGCAAGCCAAGAAGTGTTAAAAAAAACAAAAAAAATAAAAAAAATAAAAAAAATAAAAAATATTTAAAAAATTAAAGTAAAATTAAATAGAACACGTCTAAATGAGGTAAAAAAAATAGTTTTTTTAAAAATAATCTAAAAAAAAAAATGTAAAAATAAGTTTCTATGGCCAAAACACTTTCCAATATTTTCTAAAATAACACAAATCATAAAAAATAACATATTACAAATAAATAACACGAATCCAAGTTGACTCGGCCGCGTTGCGCTTCACTGGTTTTGAAACTTACACTTTGGCAACAAACAAACACATAAAAAGACGAATGAAGAATCAAAATAATAATGAATGGGAAAAATATAAGAAAATTTGTCAAAAATGAACTAAAGAGATAAATTATGTAACAATTAATTTGTTTTTTTATTTAATATTAAAAATTCCTTATAAAGACGCTAAACGTGAGTTGCAATAGTTGATGTTTTAAATGTATTTTGATAAATAACCAAAATACTAAATAGTTGAAATTTAGATAATCTTTCCAAAAATATACAAGTTACACATTCCTACATCAGGTTCAAATACCATGTTACAACTGCTACATAAATTAGTAAATTACCTCTTATTTTTTATCACATTTAACAATTGTAACATAAATTATTAAATTACCCCTTATTTTTTATCACATATATACCTAACCCTAACTCTATGATATCATCAGGTGTACAGGTGAAATTAAATAAATGCATTGAACATATCCATAAAACAGTCATGAAAGGCGGTTAAGAACAGGAAGAAAGGGTGACCTAAATTTAAAACCTGGTGAAGAGAGAGAGAGGGTATGCTAAAAAGAATCCTTAATTGCAGTAATGAAAGAATGAGTGCCCTCTTTTTGGGCTTTACAATCAAGGGCTAATGAAACCCAGCAAATTCACAGAAGTTAGAGAGAGAGAAAGAAAAATGGCAGAAAGAACTCTTGCTTGTAAAAATGAAAGAATCGCAGCCTTCCAGGTCCTCACATCAAGGGCCAATTAACTTCTATGAAACTCATCAAATTCCAAACCACCTTTGCACAACCCCCACCCCAACTCTCTCTCTCTAACCCTTCTTCCTAAACACCACCTCCGTGTCAAGCCCGAACCCATCAACCCTCCTCACCCTCACAACGTCGGAGCTCTTGAACAACTGAATCAATGGCTCGACGCTCAACAGATCATTCGCAGAGTACTTGTCCCCCCTCCTCTTGATCGCCACATGAAGGACGCACACTCCACTGGGCTTCAGCGTCCGTTCGATCTCGGCTACAAACCTCTCCGGATACAGTGCGTGATCAAACACGTTCGAGAATTCGAAATCGAAAACTGCATCGTCAAAAGGCTGTTTATGAAAATCACCCTGCAACACAAGAGGAGGAGAAGGAACCAAATCGATTCCTATAGAGTCCTGAACGCCAATCTCTCTCAACGCTACCACTTCTTGGCCGACTCTCGCTCCGATGCAAAGGGCCTTGGAATCGTTTCTCAACAGATTTTGGTCCTTCAATTCACGAAAGAAGAGAGAGAAGACGTCGATTTTTCGACGCCAATCTCTGGTTTTCCAGAGGCTGATGAGGGTGGGATTGAGAGTTTTCTGGAGTTGTTTTTGGATGTAATCATCGTAGGATTTGAATCCTGGACGTATGAGAAGCTCTCTTGTTGGGGTGGGTTTTCTGGGTTGGGTTTGTAGAGAGAGAAAGAAGAGGAGGGCGATGAGAGAGAAAGAGATGCAGGTGAGGAGGAGGGTCTTGGTGGAGGAGGAGCGCATGGTTTTTGATGGATGGGAAGCCGGGTTTTCTTGTTTTATGATCCGTTTGTTTCTCGCTCCTCTTTAGGGGAGGGCGGTTAGGCCACTTTCTCTCTCTAGATTTTTTTTTTTTCACTTTCTCTCTCTAACTATGGTTTTCTCGCCTCCGAATGTTTTTTCTCGAATCTGTCCATCTTTTAAATGAGTTTCTCATTATAGTTTACCACTTTCCTCTCTCTCTCTACGCGTGGACTTTTATTTCTTCTCTTCTTTTTCTTATTGGCGCTTGTGAGCTTTTGACTCGTGGGGTATGTTAGCGTGATTTAGACGGGGAAGTGGGGATAAAGGATTAGAGCGGTTCCCTCGACTCTCTCTTGTATTTGGATTAACTCGAAGACTATCTCTCACACATTGCTAAATCTTATCCTTTCCACGTTTCTCTATCATGTGGGTAGGATTGGCAATGTCCCGGTCGGCCCAGGGGCTTGGCCCACAAACTGTGACCCGAGGGTTGGTAAAAGCCCGTGCTAGTAGGGGTAGCAACGGGTTGGGTCAGGTCCGGGTCCAACCATGTCTAGACCCAAAAAAATCATATGGGACCCGAACTGGAAAATATAGTGTGGGATCCAAACCCGACTGGTTCCGATCGGACCCTACTAAAAAAATTAAAATATCAATGTATTTAACTATATTAAATATATTTGGATCCGAAAAATATCACGAGACCCAAACTGAATAGTGTTCGACTCCAACAGTTGGATGCAGACGCAATCCACCAGTCAAATTTTTTGACCTGTACCCAGACCCAAATTGGGTCAACTTCTCTGGTCCAGGTCCATTGCCACCCCTACATGCTGCCCGCGGCTCTCTTTTTTTTTTCCTATTAATTTTTTATCTTTTTAGTCAGGTCTGGCTATACAATAATCCTGTTTGGGACAGGCTGAGCTTAGGCTGGCGCTATGGAGACGAGGGCAGGGCCGGGCCGGTCCAAGTCTGGCCCTCCTGTTGCCACCCTTAAATATGAGGTAAGTTGGATGTTGCATTCTCTCTCCGTAACGGCGTTTAGCGTTTCCCTGGGACGGGGTTCTGCAGCGTTTCTTGAGGTTTATTATATTAAAAAATAAGGCCATGTCTTTCGAATTACCAAAGAAAAAAAAAAAAAAGCCTCAAATTCTAAGGTCCCAGGTACGCTTGTGGGTTTCTCCCGAAGAAGTGAATTCCCAAAATGGTCCTGGAATCTTGAGACTTTTAACTTTTATAATTGCCACCGTTTATGATGTTTCTGAAATTTAGACAAATAGCCACTTTATTATCCTAAAACCTAACCCCTTGATCATATCTTTTTTATTTTAAAATTTTCCATGACCCCCTTGATAATAAATTTTGATTTTAAAAGTTTCTATGACCTCACAATACCCTCTCTTCTCGAACCCATTACTTGGTCACAAGCTCTCTCCCTAATTAAACTAAAATGCTTAGGACCTTCTTTTCTTGCTATCCAACACTCGAATCTTGTTTTCCTCTTTAACATACACAACAAAGAACCAACAACACCTTAATTCTATTCAAAAACTCAAAACTGAAAGGGGTTGTGTATCTATTATCATGAAAAGAAATCGACTTTTTATTTCATAAATCATTTTGGTTAAAGAAAGATTTTCTATCAGGACTTGCATATGTTAATGTGGGACATACAATTTTTATTAAAGGAAAACAAAGCAAAGCTTATTACAATGGTTAAAGTGTACTTTCTAGAAATCGTATTAGTTATTATTTTATTTTATTTTGGGTGATTTAGTGAAGTTATATTTGTAATTTTGTTTAATAGGAAGTCATGAAAGTTTTAGATGGTTAGTAATCATTGCTATAAATAGGTAATTGTTGTTGTAAGTGGGGTACTTATTGTAGTAAATATGATTGCAAGTTTATGTACCTCATTTTTTATTTTTTTATTTTTTTATTTTTTTATTTTTTTATTTTTTTATTTTTTTATTTTTACGTCATCTTGATTGTTTTTTTTTTGTCTATTTGGTGGTAAGTCTTGGACTAGTGTGACATTGTTACAATAATTGAGAAGCAGATTGTTCTGTTATTGTGATATCCATCTTTCTCCATATATTATCAGATCCACAAATGTGGTGGTTATATTGTCTTGATTCACTTGATAAGGAAAACCGATTGTATTCTTGAAGATTGATTCGGGTGGAAGGTCGAATGATTGTAGTGTCGAGTTGGTAACTCAACTCAAAGTGATCTTTATATTTCTCAATTGTTCTTAAAGATCAATAATATTTGCTTGGAAATCTCTCTTGTTGATATTTGAAGGCACGAATGAAGCAATCATCATTTGTGGGTTAAAGATAGAGTATAATCCCTATGTTTCTTCTATTCAAGAGTGGGTTAAACAACTATCTTTGGTAGAGTTCGAGAATCTCATTGGTGACCTGTCAAATGACTGGATTTTCAATTTTGGGAAGTGATGGAGATGATTGCATCACACTTAAGAGCTAAACATGATTTTTCTACTTGAAATTACTTTAAAGTAGAATATTCAGATTGTTAAAACATATTTTCTAGAAAGCATATTAGTTTATTTTATTTTATTTTCTAGAAAGCATATTAGTTTATTTTATTTTAATTTATTTTATTTTGAGTGATGAAGAGATGTATTTATAATTTTGTGCAATAGGAAGTTATAAAGCTACTAGTTGGTTAGTAGTTATTGCTGTAAATAGATAGTTATTATTATGAGTATGTAGTTATTGTAGTAAATATGTGTGTAAGAATCTCTATTTAAAGATATGTATGTTATAGGGAAATTCATGTACCAAGTTTGTAATGTTTTTGTACATCTCAATTTTTATTATGGAATAAAAAATTGTTTTTTTTCTACTTCATCTTGATTGTTCTTTTTTCTATATCTTTGGTGATTGTTCTTTTTTCTATATCTTTGGTGGTGAGTATACCACTAATGTGAGATTGTTAGACTAATTGAAAAGTAGATTATTCCCGTATTACGACATCCGTCTTTCTCCAAAAGTTAATATTATAATTCTATGCATAATTTTTTTGAAGTAATTATGAAACTTTTTCTTTAGCTTATATCATACTTGTATTGGCATTTTCTATGAAAAAAATTAAATTTAAAGGAGGCTATCCATGACTTCGTAAAAACCCAATGACGACATTTTGGTCTTTTCAACCCTTGTATGTAGGCGATTATTTCGGTGTTTCGCTAGTGACGTTATGATGACGTTAAGCAGAGTCAAAAGACTCGGGAATAAAAGTTTTTAAAGTTGAGCGTGTATACTATGTTCGCGCGGGAGTGTGGTGTACAAATATTCCTATCAACTAAGGAGGACTGTTTTTAAGGAAAAAGTTTATATAGAGCCGAGGCTCTAAACAATCAAATTAGAGCTTACCTAAGAACTTTCACTAAAAGAGGTTGTTTTGGAGCCTAACTATCTTTAAATTGATCATCTCAACATCAAGATGCATGAACATGAGAAAAAAAAAATAAATTTCAAGTTTTGGAAATAATGCATCTTAATTTTTTGGCCATCAATTTTTTAGATTTTCAAGTTTTCATATATATGCTCTATCTACAATATTTTTGAAGCTTTAAATTTTATATTTAAATAGGAAAATATACTTTGAGGCTATCAAAATTTTCAATATTGAAACTATATTTCTCCACACTATTTAAAGGTGACTGTTTAGAGCCATTGAACCTTGAGAGATTAATTTTTTCAAGTGCATTGAGAGTTGCAACTAGAAAATTCTTTTGATTGAGCTTAACCTATAGTTTGAAGAATCTGCATCCCCGGGTCCATATATCAACCTGAGACAAAGTTTTACACGATGGAATATATGAACTGTATGATCCTGTGGGAGCATAATACCGGTTGACTCCGAAGAAAGGCATTTGCCAATGGTTACTCAGGAAGTATGACCTTGCACTGGCAATTTATTCCATGCTGCGTGTAGTATTCTATTACTATATACTACTATTTAGCATATAGTGGTTGTCAATAACGAAAGGAGCTCTTTTACAGCTTAGTGGGTTTATCTCCACCGTCCATCACGAACGACGGACAGCTACATGATATCATACATTATAAGATGGCAGATTGGTGGGTTTTAACATTCAAAACAGGAGAAAAAAAGAAGAAGAAGAAAAGTTTGGTAGGCCTTCAATATTTATATTGTTTGTAGGGTTAAAGGGAAACCCAGAGTAGAGGGTCAAAAGTGTACATCTGGTTGGAATGTTTGGAATGCTTAGGAAACAACAGACCAAAGTGGATTTGATTAATAGGACACATTCATTCATAAGGTATCATTCAACTCAATTCAATAATACTGAATATAAGCATATGGCGTGGTATTGCAGGAGCATATTGTGTACTTACTCCTTAGCACAATGCTAGTCCTAATATCTTTTCAGTGTGAATAGTTGGGATCTATTTTAGAGTCACCATACGTTTAGAGGCACCGGATGACTATTTGAAGAAAACAAATTTGGTTGCTGAGTTCTATTCGAATACGAGTGTTAACCGTTGTTTTCAATATTGTTTGAGTGGTTAGTTGTCGACATTAGCAACGTTATGTTCGAGTTCGAGTTCGAGTTCGATTTCTACTGCCAAGTTACTAAAATGAAATCTTCATTCAAAATAAAAAAATTTGGAATTTAAGTTTTTAAATACCCAAAATTGATAATTTTTGTTTTTTTGGTAATTCAATAGGATTAGGTCTTCTGCCTGCAGTAGAAATGGAACTCAAGATTCCAGTGAATAGATGACATGCTCACTTGGAGCATAGAATATTTTGACTTCATGCATTGATAATCATGACAAAGCATCGTAGCTTTTGGGTGGTGTTGGTTAGCATCCACCTTTCCTAGCCAATAGGCACCAAAAAAAACAAGCATTTTGGCCTTTGGAGGAACCAAGGGCCGTGCTCTCTCAAGGAGTTCTTCTAATTAATTGCCTCTAGGGCTGCCGGGCGCCGTAGGTGCCCCAGGCCGAGCCCTATTCCGGGCTGGGTTTGGGCAAGATTCGATAAGAACTAGTGGGTCCGGCCTAGGTTGGGCCTAATAGGCTTTAAATATTTTTATTCCGACTAGCCCTCATTAGCCCA